GTATGCAGTATCAATCAAGTATCATGGTTTATTTTATTTTCACCTCGCTCTCTTCTTTGCATTGGTGGCTTGATTTCAAGTTAATGCAATGGTGATATTTTCAATGTTTCCAACAGATTTGGGTTTCTAAAGTGAGAATATGTATAATTCACCTTTAATTTAAAATAGGCTTAAATTTGTTTTAGTCTTTTAAATATGGGGGAATTTAATTTTGGTATCTTAAATTTAAAATTGTTTTTTTAGTATCTGTAATTTCAAAGAAACTTGTTTTAGTCCTTCAAGATCACTAGCAGCATCATTGATAAGGATAGATTGAGTTAGTTGTGCAATATTAGTTGGGTGGATTTAATGTAACGTCTTCACACGTTCATTAACAAGGGGTGTTAGTAAGTGGGTTTTATGTGACAAATTCAGTAATAACTATAGGTGAGTTTTTTTTTTGGACTAATTTACTAACAAAATTTGAGCATTGGGATTGAATCAAGTTTTTTTTTTTTTTTTTCCAAATTACATGGATTAAAAAATCAATTTTAAATGAGAGATCCAAAACAAATTTAACTCGTATATGAGGAATTAAAAAGTAAAAACATATTTAAACTTTTAAAGTATGTTAAGTTTTCAATGTATTTCATTTCCAATCAACGGTAGATCTATCTTTACTTTCTTGCTTCACGCATATCACTTTATAGGAGTTAAATCAATTTTGGGTAGAATGTCGAGTCTGATGGCATGATCATAGGACAAACTTCAAAATTTAGTCATTACACTGGTGGTTCCAGTTGTCTGAAACTAGTGAAACTACGTTCATGGAAATTTAGTCTAATTTGATATGATGGTTGGCAGTTATGATTCATGTGCCCAATTTTAAACCCTCTTTTGTTCTCTACAATCAACATATGCTAAAAAATGAAGGTAACATTGAATAGCCCTCTTAAAAAAAAGAAGCCAAAAGTTTATGTATGAATGTGTTGATATTTTTGGGTTCTGTAATTTGTAAGAAATATTTTTTATAATTTTCAATTGGAGTGCATTGTTATACCTAAAATCATTAATGTATATTGATGGCATGCCAATACATCCCAGGCATTTTTGGATGGGGAAAGAGCTACAAGATTTTTGGCCAGTGAAACCAGGAATGAAATACTCCTTTATGCTGCAACTGAGATTACTGACCGTTATCATGAATTAGCTGCTGACCTTGTTAGCGTGGTAAGTGTCCAAATTCAAAATACATTGATGGAATTCATGGATTCTATGTTAGAACTTGTTTTAATAAACTTTAATCATGATCAGGCAAGAAAGACAGAGTCTTCGCTCCAGAAAATTAGGCAGAGTGCACAAAGACGAGCTGGAGCAAGTTCAGATATCTCTGATAATAACGTGTCTGACACCGATAAAATCTGTATGCAGTTGTTCCTTGATATTCAGGTTGGTATAATACTTATTATTACCCTTACCAGTGTGATCTTTCATTCTTGCATATACAACTCATAAATCTCAATCTCATGGCTTCTGAATGAGTTTTTGAGTCAGTTTCCAGCAAACTGACTGCTTTCATAATTCATTTACATAATGTTCCTCTGACAGTCTTACTGCTTCCATTTACGTAACCTTCCTCTTGCAAATTGTCACCAGGAGTATGCCCGTAACCTCTCTGCCCTGGGGATTGAAGCAGTCAATATTGCATCCTACCGTTCATTATGGCATTGTGTGGCTCCTGCAGATAGGAAAAATGCAATTAGTCTCTAAGAGTTTGCTCCTATGGAGTTAATGCGGCTTGTAGATTGTTTTCTTCCTGAGTCAAGAATTTCTTTTTGTAACTTAATTATGAAATTCGTATTATAGCTTTACACAATAATCACAGGTTATCATCGTTCTTAAAAGGGAAGAAAAAAAATATTTTGCTCGTAACTGTTATCTTTAAGGGTCTCTGTTGTCACTACGATGGCAGATGTGTGATATTCTTTGTGGCATGTTTCTTATCACCATTCTTTCAAATTTGTGCAAACATGCGGCCAGCTTTTTCCATTTTTTATTTTATTGTCTGGCAGATGAAATATACTGTTGTATACTCTATTTTCTTTTTGATGCTTTGTATATCCCAATGTTTGCTTTTCAGTTACAGCCTAAGCTTGTGTTTGGTAGAGTGGGAAGAAATAGGTGAGTAATAGTGTAGAGAAATAAAAAGTGAAGAAAAATTGGTAAGGAATAAAATAAAAATGTAGTTATTTGATTAAAGAAAAATAAGTAAAAAGTGCGTAAAAAAAAAAAAAGGTATATATAAGAGAGAGAAGAGATAAACAAAATAAATAAAATGAGGTCTATCACCTTTTAATTTTCCTCTTTTCTATTTTTTTTAATCAAAAAAATTTCTTTCATTTTTACTCTCTTATTTCCACTTCCTTCACCCTATTTTTTATCCATTTCTTCTCTATAAAATAGGACAGTAATGTAATTCACCGGTGCGAGCCTAAATTAAGTTCCAAGCAGAATTTGATATTTGTATTTTACCTTTCAATATATGCTGATTGCTGATGGTATCTATTGTATTTTTCTTCCACCTTTTTCATTTTCCAAAATGTTTTTAAGTTATATCATTTTTATTTATTTATATATGTTTATTCAATTCAATAATCGAAAAAGGTATAAAATGTAAAATTGCCAGACTTGGAGATTAGAGAGTAAAGAGGGACACTACGTTAGGCTTACGTGCACTTGTAGTGGTTACAAGTCGCAACCATAAACACAATTCCTCAGTCAAACTTTATAAAAGATAACTGACATATTAACACACTCCTTATTATTTAGTGAGATTGATTTAAAAATTTAGTTTAGGGTTTATTCTAAAATACAAATTAATGGATTTAGTCTAAAATTTAAATTTTATGAGTATAATTAATAATTATTAAAAAAAACATAGAATCAATTATATCATATAATTAAAGTAAAATAAATAAATATCCTGACCACGGTAAGTTTAATAACTTTGTAAAAGAACATCAAATACATCCTAATATGATAATTCTTAACATAAATAACAGCATTATTAAATTTTAAGGATTTTTTTTCCTATTTTGACACGTTTCAAAATTTTAGTAAAAGGATATCCATTTTAATCAAATTGAGTTCTTTTTTGAGGTGTGACATTCACGTGTTTAATAACTCATATTCTATATTAAATTTCAACGATCTAACCATTAAATTTAAAGTTTTTAATGCATAGATTAAATTTATAAATTTTAAAAAAATTTAAAAATTATTTAATACTTCATTTCATTAATTTAAATTGACGGATAATCATAAAATCATTTTATACATTGATTTGAATTTATGAAACAAAGTATTAAATGATTTTCAAATTTTTTAAAAATTTGAAATTTGATCTATACATTAAGAACTTTAAATTCAACGGTTGGATTGTTGAGTTATTGAATGAAATAAGTCTAGATAGATTTTCTTCTAAAGTGAATAAAACCCTCCTCTTTTAGCAAACCTAAATGCATACGACTGGTGCATGAAACCAAATAGCCAAATAAATAAATATGATGGGCAAAAGAGGTCTTTAATTGATAAACTTGAGAAAAGTTTGTAATGCAATTTTAACATGCACATGTCTGCACCCAATATTTAACTTAATTGCAAACTCTCATAAAAGGTAAGGGTGTAAGTGGGTACGGGTAACCCGTGAATCTAAATTGATCCAAATCAACCCAATAAGTTTGAATTAGATTTTTTCAGTGTTCAGATCAGACCCAACTCAACTCAATCAAAACCTGACACTATATGGGTCATGTAACAGGTTGTGTTTCTAATTTGTTACCGATCATCTACTCAAGATAATACTCACTGTCACTCTTACTTAGTAACAAGTTTTGTATTTTAGTTTGATAGCATTGTAATAATATAATATATTCATTTTAAATTTTATTTTGTATTAATTAATGTTGATTTTTTAAGTTGATAATAATATAAAAAATTAATAAATTTATTTTAGAATTTAATTTGTATCATTATTTGTTTCATAGGTTGATAACATTGAATTTACGAACATATATCAAATGAGTTACATCTATTTTGAAATATTTAAATTTTTACAATAAATAAATAAATATAATTATGTTAACCCGATTAACCCAATTTAATCAAACTCATTCGTGATTAAGTTGGGTTGGATTAAATTTTTTTAAGTTTTTTACAAATTTGATCTAATCCAACCCATTAAATTTTAATTGAGTTAAATAAATTTATTTAATTCGACTCAACTCAACCCAATCCATTTGCACTCCTAATAAAGGTCATATATTTAGTGACGTTAGTTTGAACTCTCTAAATAAATATTTTTCTTTTCATAAGTTCGGTCAAGAAGATTAAAAGAAATAATTATTTCCTAAAAGTTACTTAACACTGTGATGCCAGAGGGCTCAGACCCATTCACTTTCCAAATGAATAATAGAGCCAAACTTGTCCTTCTTTAGCCTATAGTTATAATTATACGCGTGTTTACAACATTATACATACTAGGCAGATTGTTCCTATATTTTAAAAATAATTGGATACCGATTATAATAAGAGAAAAAAAAAATAATAATTACCACTTATGAGTAATAAGAAGTTTTTATTCCTGATAGAAATGTAACTTAACAAAAATTCTCATTAATTTATTTTTTTAAGAAAGTTGAGAAGAACAAAATAGATCCTTTAAAAATAGAAGATATTTTTATTATTTATTATATATATAATTAATCACCTATACACGGTCAGTGTAAAGTTTTTTTACACTGACAGTCAATTAGAGCCGTTAATAATATCTTTTCATCTGTTCATTTAATTAAATTAAAATAAAAAAAGTACTACTAACGACTTTGATTGATTGCTAATGTAAAAAAATTTACACTGACAATGTATAGGTGATTAACTCATATATATATATATATATACACAGTCGATTGATCTGGTTTAACTCGTTTAAAAAAAAAAAAAAGCAAATAAAAGACTAAAAGAGTCAAAAACCAGTTGCAGTTAAGAACCCTTTTTAGCTTCTGTGGAAACAAAGGAGAACAGAAGCGAAGCTTACAAACAAACGACCCTGATCAAGTTCCGATTGGAAAAACCCAAACTTCTGCTTCCTTAGTGTGTAGTTGCTCGTGATTATATGCGTGGTTACTAATCAGATCAATACTAAAGATAGGAATAAACTCCAACATCTGTTACTGTTTTTTCCACTTGCAATCATTTTGTTTTGCTTTCAAACTAAGAATCGTCCGTACCAAAGTAGCGGTCACCAAATTCTCCTAACCCTGGTATGACACGGGACTGGTCATTTAAACCTTCTTCAATCTCCGATGTGATGAGTTTCAGATGCGGAAAGTGTTTGCAAACACAATGTATTCCCTCAGGAGCCTGAAATGAGTTTTGAAATTTACGGTACTTGTATTCATCAAACACAAGATATTACTAGTATTCAATTGAATATAACTTACAGAAATGAGGTTAAGGAATATTATCTGGGACTCTGGAACTCCCTTCTTTATAAGAAGCTCGATTGCTTGGCTAGCAGTGTTACCTGGATATTTATTAAGGTGCTTATTGCCAGCAGAAAGAAGTGGCGGTGTCATGCATAAATGAACAAAAAAAGGTAAATAAAGAACTTGTTGGACTGAAGCTTCGTAAGTTAACAGTGATCTAATGTTAAACTAAAATTCTGTTTCGTAATCTGGTCTCGAAAATGCCAAACTTTGCTGTAATATATTATTATGCATCTAGTACCTCCCGAGTAATTGGTTGTACAGCAGTGTTCAATAATAAGATTTTACTAACAAATCTTATAGTGAAATTTTAGAAATTTAAATTTAAATAAATAAATATGTGAGCATTAAGGAGTTTGATGTACAAATAAAGAACGAAGACGGTGCATGCAAAAAGATACTGACCTGTACCAAGTACTGGGTCCATGAGAAGAACATGTCTCTCTGAAATATCTTTAGGAAGCTTCTCATAAATAAGCTAATGGAATGGAAAACATTGTAATAATTACATGTGCAGAGTTGTATCTTCTATTATCTTATACACAAATACAACAAATTCACGAAAGAATAAGCAGAGTCAAAAAGGAACATTGATACCTGGGTTTCACCACCTTCACCATCACCACGGTGAATGAGAATTTTTCCTATCTTTATTCCTTTGCAGCAAGCACGCAAAGCATTTTCCATGCTTTCGCCGCTGAAATATTATAAAGGAAACCAACTGTAATTTTTATTTTTGTATAATTAAAATGACTGACTTAATGAGAATAATTAAACGATCCAGCATAAAATTGCCAAGAAGTTACATCAACACGCATTTTTTCACACTTCAGATTAGGAGTTACACACACATATATATATATCATATGAAATTTGTTTCAGACCGAATAATTTTTTTTATCAGATATTGGATTTGGAACTAAAACTTTATACTGGACAATGGTATCTTGAAAAAACAATTGCTAACGAGTTTGTATCCCAACTTTACTATAAGAACAATTAATACAACCAGAGTCTTGAACAACAGTCAACAATGGAGTATGGACAACTAGACTATGAAGTATTGTATTGACAGCAAACCTTTCTAACAAGGAAAATTACCTTCGAATAATGGATACTCCGCACAATTTCTTACAAAAATCAACTCCAGTATAAATTGAGCCTGAAATGGGATAACAAGAAAAAATTGTGGAGTCTGTGAGTACTTATAAACAGCAGGAAAATGTTGAGATGAGGATGGTAAAACGTGAATAAATGAAACACTTGTTCGCAAATTCAAAGGATGGAAAGATTTTTCCTCTCCTTTAGATAGACGTCACAGACCTGTAGGTGTGATAACTTGTTTCTCTGTAAACGGTAAGTAACCAAGACCATGTTCCACTACCTGTGAAGTCGGTGACACTAAGATTATTTATTAAGAGGCGCTGTAAATCCTGTCTAAAGCTCAAAGCCACTACCTACCAAACGAATTAGCCGATCTGAATAAAAAACAAAATCATGCTTTGATATGTCCTTGTCACGAATAAGAGTGTGCATGCCTCTAGTCTGTAAGAAGGCTTCAAAATTAGAAATAAATTAGCATACGAAATATTTCCGTGGGGGAAAGAAGCAAACAGAAAATTTTAGAGGGAAGATGATGGAAGATGAAAATCACCTGGAAAGTGGACTGTATAACATTCAAATTGGGATATATCTTGCAGAGGTTATGTTGGCCAAGCTTAGTGCGAATATGTTGAACAATCAAGTCAATTGCTACACGATTTTCTCCCCCACGAGGTATGATAATGTCAGCATATTTTTTGGACGGAAGAATAAAATCATCGAAGGCAGGCTTAACAAATTTTGCATACTGAAAGTACAAGAAAGATTTTGCATATCAGCCACCAAATTTCATGTATTGGTAACAATCAGAAGTTCGGGTTGAACAAAGCCTAACCAAATTCAGGCTATAAGCAAACAAATTGTTTCATGCATATCACGGTATCATGTCACCAATGAGATTTAAGTTCAGAGATACCGCCCTCCAACAACTATTACTATTAGCATATTGTTTTCTAGTCTTCTTTCATCCTTGAGAACAGATATAGGGCCCCAATACAAACAGCAAAATATTATCTTTATACCCAAACAAAAGAAAGAATTTTTTCCTTTTTGAGAAAAAAAATTGAAAAAGAAAGACAACGTCATAATCCAAGAGTTTCGGGCATTTGTTGGTTGCATATTATATGACAATCCGATTTTGACTCGAAGCATATGTCCTTTACAATTAATGGGACCGAGTCATTGTTTCGGGCAACCGGATCTTCCACACAATAATTTTTCCGAATGGGATTCAGGAAGAATTTCAGAATGGGCATTGGTAGCATTATTTGTTTCTTGTCGATCTAAATAAAAAATCTCTTTTATTTTATCATCTTAATAATAAACAATTAGTTTTGGTAAATGGTAATTCCTGACATCTGTCAGTCTGATGTATGTAAAGATAATAAGTCTTGCCTGTTCCAGTACAGAGTGTACATCTCTACCCCTCTCAACAGTATCCCGTCTTATTCTGCGGGCAAGCCTTACATCTGGATCTGTATAATATGCAATGCAATATCAGTATGACGACAAGAAAATATAAAACCACCGACAATTTCAATAGAAAAATTATTTTCTCATAAAATTGTCGCCATTTATCATCTCAAACTATTTAGTTATTTACGATGAAAAGAATCTGCCAGAAAGGAACAAGAACTTTAGATGGACCAGCAGAACAGTAAGCAAAGTCTCTCACTGTACCAAATCACATGATTTCTAATTCCGCTCATCATAGTTATGTAGGGTACTTTTCCAATGCGAATGACGGTTAGAAGAGTAACATGTTAGTTTGTTTTAATCTCTGGATAGGATGTATAGATCCACATAGATTCATGATGTTCAGGAAACTATAACACAGCAATTTATATTACCTCAAATCATCCAAAAAAACTTGTCTAGCATACTTTTGTTAAGTGATAATAATGTTAAAACTTGAAAGGCTGGATGGATGACTATACATATAGTCCGTGGTTTATGACCAGCTTTGATCAGTTCTAGTGCTATAGCGGAAATTTGCCAAAATCAAGTTCGATGTGGGTAACTTATCTAACCTGTAATAGATGGTATAAAAAGCTTGAAACGTTAAATAAAATGGAAGAGCAATAGACCTGCATCAACAAATATCTTCATATTCATCATGTTGCGGACACGTTGTTCATGAAAAACCAATATACCCTCCAGAATGATTACTTCAGATGCATTCACCTGCCAAATAATAATAATAATAAAAAAAGAATTAAAATCGTCCCTAAATTTTCATTTTGTACAAATACTGCACCTCCAATCATAATTATCTAAAAACATCTAGCAACTCAGGCCCAATAGACCATAGTGAAGAAAGGGCATTAACATTAAATTTAAAGAAAACTTATTCAATAAACCAATGGTATGAATTAGAAAATTATACCCTTTCTTCTTCTGAATAAAACAAATACAATTTCAGGCATGCTTAGATAGATACACAGGCAAGAATATCAAGTGTATGATATCGACCGTTGGCTCTTTAGGAGCTTTGTAACTGCAAAGATTCAACCTGAGCTACAAATCTGAGAACAAATGATATCAACACCTCAATCTAGCTTAACACGTCAGAAGATAACCTGTCGAGATCTGTCAGAAGATCTCTGGTGAAGCTTAAAATCATATATTGGAACCTGAACTGACTGTCCAGATTTGAGCTTACTGATGGTTTCTACGAGTTGCTCTGTGTCAAATGCATCTACCAAAACCATAACACATGGTTAGAATTACAATCATAAAAGAATTATTTAATAATTAAGGCTATAGCTACCGTACTAGGATGATCAAAATTATACTCATGAACGTGTTTCAACTCATCATTTGTCAAACCGCGGTAGAATGAATCCTACAACAGTAAATCAATAACAGATCATTAATCAAGCCACTAATAATTAAAGTGAATTCATCTGTATTCGCTTTCAGATTAATTAAGCATAATGCAATTAACTCGGCTGCAATTACAAAGAAGAAATTCAATGATTCCACTGCGATCCAAATCCAATACCACCACGACAAGATTACAAGTAGAGAATCGCAGAGACCTGACAGACGAGCACAACTCTGTGATCTTGCAGTTGCTGAATGATCATGTCACACACTGTGGTTTTCCCCGATGCAGTGCCTCCAGAGACACCTGATCCACGCAGAGAACACAAATCGAATCGAAGGACACGTGAAGAACACACGCCATTAGATTTCTCTCCGACGAGAAAATGCAGGAAAATTATCGTAACTAATGTTTCGAGATTGTAGGTTCTTTTCCAACAGTAAGATCAAATCTATCCGCGAGAGAATTCAAAACAAGATGTTCATTCAATCAGAGTAACAAGAAAATTGAAGAGAGAAAAAAAATGATGTGTAGTTGGGGAGCAAGTGGAGCATAAATTAATTATGATTTTGCAGGGAACGAAAGTGATAAAAATAAAATGGCAAATGTAAGAAGAAAAAAGATGAATATGAATGGTTGTTGGGAGTATATATAGTTACCGATGACGAAGGGGTGATGTGAGGATGTTGGAGAAGAAGAGGAGGTGGTTGAAGGATGCCAACCGGAGAAGTGCGCACCGGAGAGAACCTCTATAACCATATCCATTGCCGTTGTTTCTGCCTTAGTTTCTTATCACTCCCCTGCGCTGCGCCCATGCTTTCACCTTCTAACGCTCTTATATACGTATGCGTTTGCGGGCTCTACACCGCTCACAATTCAACTCACAACTCCACCGCATTCTTTTTTTACTCTCTAAATCATTCTGTTCTTCTTTTTTCTTGTTTTTAAATTTATTTTCATCTTTTATTTTTAAAAATATTTATTTTAATCTTTATCTCTTAAATTTAGGTTCTTTTTAATTTTTTAATTATTTTTAATAATTTAAGACTTAAATTTATCTCATTAAATTCACTTAAATAAAAATTATTAATTATAATTAAAATTTAAATCGAAAGTGTAATTAATATATATAGTGAAATAAGAGGTTTTAATAGATATAATTTCATGCTATTTTTTAATTGTTTATGAAATATTTATAAGTGAATTTAATATTATAAATTTTATGTCTTGAGTAAAAAATTAATTTAAAATTGAGTCAAAATTAAAAATAATTATTATTTTAAAATAACTAAATTGATCTAAATAAAAATAAATAAATAATTAAAATGAACATTTTAACATATAAAAGATCAAAATAAATATAAAAATTAAAATAAATGATCAAAAGTATAATTTGAGGTTTTTTTTTTTTTTTTTTTTTAACGTTATCATTGGTTAGCACAAATAGTATAAGATTTGGTCTAATTTAAGTTTTTCTTGACTCAAGTTCAACTTCCTATGACTAAAATTTTACTTTGGCAAGTATATATATAAGGAGATCTCTTAGTGCCAGACTATAAAAATCCTCTTGTGGGTTTTTACTAACCCTCAGTTCAACAAATAAAACTTTGAGTCAAATCAAACATTGTTAAGCTTCAATTAATCATTAAATAGATAATGATATTTGGTCTGAGGATTCTCTGCATACCATTGATTCCTTAATCAGTAGTCATGGAGATGTCATCCCCTATCTACCATTTTACATAAAAACAAGTTTTCTTTATTAGATTATATTTCTTCCATAAATATTGTGACAATCACATCCTATTTTAAATATATTTTAATTCTTATTTTAAAAAATAATAATATGTACATCTAAAATTAATTTAAAAAAGTGTTTAATCATAAACTAGCACGGATGATAAATAAATTAAATGACTTTCATAATAAGTATTTTAAAAGTTATATGCGTATGACAAATGAATTAAATGACTTTTATAATAATTATTTTAAAAGTTATATCATATACCCACAATGATTTCTAATACTTTCATGTTATATTTAAAAGTTGAAGTTTGAAATTTATAATAAAAAAAAAAAATAAGAATCAAAATCACATCACTAAGATTTTAAGTATATAAAAAAATGTATTATATTTTTATTCAATTTATTTTTACACTATCATTTATTATAAAACATTATAAATAATTTTGAAGAAAAAAAAGTATGCACCTCCAAACTAAAAGTGTCAAAATAGGATACAAATTTTCAAGAACTAAAAATAAATTTGAAATAATTTATAGAATTCAAAATCATATTTTACCCTTTTTAAAAATATAATACATAAAAAATTAATAATAAAATAATGTAAATTTATACTCATGTTATAGTTTTATATTTAAATATAGAATAATTTTATTTTTAAAGGAAATATTAAATAATATAAAATATTATCTGACAGTTGTACAATTCTTTTAAAAATTGTGGACTCTTCTTAATTATGGATTCAGAGTGCTCATACCTCTAGACAATTCTTGAAATTGACCTTATTTCAAACACTAAGTACATATTAATCTCTAGTAATTTGGGTTTCAATTATATAAGTACAATTTTTTTACATTAATTATTATCTTCATTTTCTCCTCAAAATAAATTAATTCTTAGAAGAAGAAGAAACTATTTCTTTTATGTTTAACATAAATAAATAATTTTTTCAATTCTAGTAAAATTATTATAAAAAAAAACTATTTCTTTAAATATTTAACATAAATATATACTTAATTTTCAATTTTGATATCAGCAAGAATAACATTACTTGTATTTTAATTAATGTATATAGGTTAAATTAAAAAAAAACTTAAAACGTATTTAAATTGTAATAATCTTATTTTTCTAAAAAAATTGCAGCAATTTAAATTATAAGATTTGGTTTAATATTATTAAAATAATCATTGCTCATTTATTTTTTGCATGATGATACATATTTAAAAAAACAAAAAAGTTGTGTAAAATTATTATATGAATTTTAAGGAAATCCTGTCAAATTATCTAAAAATGGAAATCGCTTTTTTAAGTAATATTTAAAAGATTTTATCTTATTTTATTTTGTCTAAGTATCTCGGTACGAATTTTTTAGCAATATAATATTTTTTTTTATATAAAAATTACAAGATTAACAACTGTGCAGGTTTATTTACCACACTAGAACCATTTATTGTACATGCTCAGAATTCGATTTCCCGGGAATCGAATTCTGAGCTTCAAAGTGTTATTTTTTTTGTTTTTTCTACTCAGAATTCGGTTCCCGGGGAACCGAATTCTGAGTTGTTTAAATTTTTTTTTCTTCGTGTTTGTGGGGAAATTTTGGGCAGATGTTAAAAGTGGAAGGGCTCGTTTCGAAAGCAGAACGAGCCGTTCTGCTTAAAGCCACAAAGTCATTTTGTTGGAATTAAAACGGGCCAAGAACAGGCCAAGAACGGGCCGTTCCAGAATTAAGAATGAACAGAAAAATAGACCCATGAACGACCCGTTTTAAAGAAATTTTTTAGTCATTTTTTTAACCTGGAACGGGCCGTTCTTGTTTTAGAACGGCCCGTTCCAAAATAGAAATTTACACATGTTTTTGAATGTGGAACGGCCCGTTCTAGGAGCTGTTTTCACGAAAGAGAACGTAGTTTGGAACGGGCCGTTCTGGTTTTGGAACGGCCCGTTCTGGGCAAACAGTAAAAACGCATGTTTTCCTATAAATAGGCCCTCTCCGCTTCATTTTTTTCATACGATTTCAGCTAAGTTTCTCTCCTTTATTCCTTCCCTGTACTGCTTCTGATTCACCTTCATAGTAAGAAATTCTTTTTTTGGTTAAATTTTCATTAACCAGATATAAAAAATGTTGTTGTGGAAGCAAAATGAGCATAGGTTTGCCTTCATTGGTAGAACGGTAAGTTTAGCACTTTCGTTATTTACTTTAAATTTCAATGAACTTGTAATAAATTAGTACTAATTTTGGTAATTATTGTAGGAGACTGAGAATATTATTTGTTCTTACTGTCATTCAATGCCAGAACCCCACCCTCTAATTGTTCCTATACTAGAGGAAGTTGGTTTTTCTGGGGTTGCAAAGCTCAGACATCTAAAAGTGGATCACGCATTAATCACAGCTTTGGTTGAAAGATGGAGACCTGAGACTCATACATTCCATTTTCCAACCGGAGAGTGTACCATAACACTAGAGGATGTTGTACTTCAACTTGGCCTAAGAGTTGATGGTTTACCAGTCATTGACCCAACATTATATGAGTGGGAGGAAATGTGCTCCACCTATCTCGGGATCATGCCAGTTAAAGGTGAGTCACTAATTGGCTCTATGATTAAGTTAAAGTGGTTAAGAGAAAATATGTTAGAATTACCAGAGGAACCATCTCAAGAAAAAATTGATGCATATTGTAGAGCTTATATATTAGGTTTAATAGGAGGTGTTTTGATGCCTAACAAAAAAGGCAATAAGGTACATCTTATGTATTTATCTTTATTAATAAACCTTAGAAAAACAAGACGAAATAGTTGGGGGTCAGCTTGTTTAGCTATGTTATATAGGGAAATGTGTAGAGCTACAAATGTTAGCAGCAAAACAATGGGTGGTTGTGCATCTTTGTTACAGTCTTGGGCATGGCATCGCATGCCATATATTGCGCCTATTTCCAGGATACCAGCAACATTCCCTCTAGTCTGTAAATGGAGCGAGGGCAGAGTTTTAAACTTTCAAAATGTACCTCATAATGATGTTGTTGGATATAGATCAAGGTTTGATCACATTCAGAATGATCAGGTAACTCTTTAAAATCAAAGTTTTATTATTTTTTTTAATTTTCTTTTGTTTAGCATAATATGTTAACTAAAAAAGTTTAATTTTTTTGTAGTTTTTATGGGCGCCATATGCAGTATTGCAAACAACAATACCGATGCAAGCATATAGAGATGCTCTGCTATGGACATCATGCACCTCCATTATTTGTTTTGCAATTATTGAATGGCACCAATCTGATAGAGTGAAATTGCAATTTCGTCTCTTCCAGGATGTCCCTTCTCCACCGAATAATTTGGATAACCTGCACAACATTGACATGAGGGGAAGACAAGATGAAAATTGGGTTACAAGACATGCTCAGTGGATCGACATATGGAACAATAGACGTGAGCACACATTGATGGGTCATCCAATGCAAGGCCCACTGCTTCACACACGAGAATACATGGAATAGTACATGGCCAATTCCATCTATTTTTTATCTGTGCCACGACTACTACAAGATCCAAGGACCCATCAACAACGAAGGACTTCCACAGCATTTGAGACTGGTGCAACTTCCATGCGATCGCATGAAGAGACTCGTCAGCATGTATCAAATCCTCACTACGTCACTCCTGAAGAAAACATAATTGACAGACGACATTCATTTGCAACAACTTCAGAGGATTTTTTTACAAATTTATTTGGAGTAGATTTTAGAACTCCATCTTCAGCACAATCATACATGCGATCTCTTTACCGACCAGAATTCGGTAATGAACCTGGAAGTTCTTCAGCACCATTTCAACATCCGGTGGTTGATGATGAACATACCGCCTCAAGTTCTTAAGAAAAAAAACCATGCATCGCTAGTTTCCCCTTTCAACAACAGCAAATGCAATAGAAATTATGTTGTTGCGACCATCTTGCGCAACAACATAATGCATGGTACCATCCACTTGTACAATTGGTTTGCAGAAGGCAAAACCATCAATGCATGGTTTAAAGGTCCAAAATAACCTTTTGAATATAACACTCCCCTCGTCCAATAATTCACCTTGGTAAGCTGGTTGCGTATTTAATTTCTAAATAAAACCTGGA